CCCCCGTACGTGTGGTAAGAATTTTAGGGGGGGGGAGAGGTCAATGCCCCTTCAGACCCTTGATCTGAGCAGCAGCCTGGCAGAGCACTGAAGGGGGGCGAGCGTGCGTTTTGTCCAAATGTCATTAATGATGAAGGAAAAAAAAAACCCAGCATGGGTTTTATATCAACCCCTTTAGGTCTGGTAGGAATTTTAGGGGGGAACCCAACACCCTTTAAAATCCCCTACCAGACCCATGATATGAGCAGCAGCCTGGCAGAGCAGTGAAGGGGGGCGAGCGTGCATTTTGTCATAATGTCATTTAATAATGAAGAAAAAAAAAAGCATGCGGCCCCCCCTCATTTATACCAGACCCTTTAGGTCTGGTAGAAATTTTAGGGGGGGCCCCATGCCAAAAACGGATGCAAATACCTTACCAGTGAAAATTCTGCACCATACCGGGCCACATGCCCTCAATATGAGGGGGGTGCTTTGTCAGGGGGGACCCCATGTCGATATCGACAAGGGCCTCTTCCCACAACCCTGGCCCGGTGGATGTGTGGGGTGGTCTGCAGGTAGGGGGGCTTATAGGAATCTGGGTGCCTTCTTTAAAGGAGAACTATGTGTTCAGGGCTTTTCCCCATAGTTCTCCTAAGGCCCCATTTACACTGAGCGATTCGCAAATCGCGTGTTTGTTGCGCGATTTGCATTTTGCGCGGTTTGAAGCGCAAATGGTTGCATTGAGCAAACTAGAATCGCGGCAAAATCCACTCCAAAAAGGGTCCTGCTGTAGCGACGCACGACCCGCGACGGACAGAGCCCCATTGCTACAGCTCGCGGTATACTGAGACGCCGCAGCTGAAGCGGATCCCGACATCGATGTCGAGATCCGCCCGGCTGCGTGGGGGCTGCATGCTGTTTTTTTTTAAAATTTATTTTCAAGTTTCACAACATTAATAACGCGACATTCGGGCAAAATTCGGACGCATCTGAATTTTCATTGTCAAATATACGGATACGTTCAAATCCATTATTTGTTTAATTTGGACATCAGACGCATCCACCATGTGCAATAAAATGGATGTTGGCTCTCTCCCCCCTATACCCACTGACACCTGGGATGCTGGTCCCAGCCCCCGCAGGAGGGGCAGTGGAGCCCGGGAAGATAAGGGGTGTCTCATCAGCTTTTAGAGGAAGGGGAAAAGCCACTGACGTAAGGCTTATGAGGTGGCCAGCTGGAAACGCAGGGCTGTAGCTACCATGGGGCGATTGAGGCACAGCTGAGAGGGGGCGCAGCCAGGGCCGGCCTAACTGCTCCCTCTCACCCCCGTTGCCATGGCGAGCACAGGGTGCCATTGGCAACAGGGGCACCAGGCGGCTAACCCAACCGTGGCGCATCGGGGGGAGAAGAGGAGCGGCACAGGCTCCAGCTTTTCCTCGGATCCCCGCTGCTCTCCCCCCACCTGTATCGGCAGAGGACTCCGTGTCTTCAATCTCTAGCCAGGGCCGGCCTGACTGCTCCCTCTCACCCCTGTTGCCATGGCGAGCACAGGGTGCCATTGGCAACAGGGGCACCAGCTTTTCCTCGGAACCACGCTGTTCTGCCCCCACCGGTATCCTGCAGAGGACTCCGTGTCTTCAATCTCTTTTTGTATTTCAAAAGGGAAGTTTCAGGTGTCTGTTTAGACCCTTAATATTTCCCCAAAGCCCAAACAGTAAAAGTAAATAATAAAAATGTATAAAAAAAGCCAACCCCCCCTACCACACACACACACACACACACACACACGCACACGCACACACACGCACACACTCACGGACACATATTACTATGTGCGCCTCCATTCTGGAGGGGGGCGTATGGCATCGCATACCGCACACGTCTGGGGGGGGACGGGGGGCACAACTTTCCATTCTTGCCTCGGGCACAAAAGGAGCTCGCTACGGCTCTGTGGAAACGGTTGTGTTCCGCCGTATGACATACGCCGGTGGCAGGGAAAGGGTTAATCTACTTTGTGCGTGTTGGAATGGGGGCAGCACACACAAAATTCCCGACGCGTGTGTTTAGCCGCGTGCAGATGGCAGGGGGGCGGTGGGTTGGTTTTTATCACTTTTTTGTTATTAATTTTTTTTTTCACTTTTTTTTTCAATTTTTTGTATTTTTCGTTTTTTATTTAATTTTTTTAATCAATTTTTAAGTTTTTTTTTTTTTTAATTATTTTTTTTACTTTTTCACTCGTTTATTTTTTTGCCTAACTTTATTGCTATCACGCAGTGGGAGCTAACAAGCCCCCTACGTGATGGCGTTTGGAGGTGACTTCGCTTCTCTTCGTGGAGCCTGCCCTGCAGAAGATGGAGTGCAGCATTTTGCGCGATCTCCTGGGCGGCTGAGACGGGAAGCGCTGCAGGTACGGCTCTCCTGTCTCATTAATCGCACAGAGCAGATCGGAGAACGGATATTCTCCAGTCTCCTCCTCACTCTCCATCCTGAAATCATTGCCAGGGACCCAGAAGAGTGGGGGACCCCGAAAACTACGGTGGGGGTGACCTACCCAGCACCCGGAACTGCATGTCCCTGGCATCGGGCAATAGGAATCCTGCACCCCTGAATTTCATTATCATCAATGATGACGACCTATGTAGAGATCACCTGAACTCCATACCACACGTACATTAGCCCCTCCCCCTGCCGGTGTTGGCGGGTAAATACAACAGACCTTCAGGCGCATTCTGATTGCATTCAGGACCAATTGTTTACTGCAATGATGCTTTGTGTTTTTTTAGGATGGGTGTGGAATGGTTTGGTTTCGGATATGCGGCTCTGGTCACCACCGGAGGTGTTATCGGCTATGTGAAAGCAGGTAAGTTCCCGAGTCCGAGAGTTGTGGTGACAACATCAGTAATGTGACCGTCGGCTGTTCTGTAGTTCAAATAAACACAAAGAACAAGAGAAATGTCACGCATCGTTCTCTATATTCACCGGAGCAGCAGCGACGCTCGGCGAGGTAAGTAAGAAGGAAAAAAAGAAAACATAGCGCAAGCTTCGGCGCTAGGCATCGGGGCATTTTGACAAGTACAAGTACTTGTCAAAATGCCCTGTATCGGGCCCGATTCCGATGCTAGCATTGGTATCGGGACATCCCTATTAGTGACCTGATATTACTATAGTGCACTTTCCGGCCTGCTGGTGGTATCCGGCCCTTGGACTGTGGTGGTTCAGCATGGTGACAGTGGCTGCACTGACCTCCAAGGCTGGTGTGTCCATTGCAAGCCATAGCCCAGTGCAGGTCAGCAATCGGACGTGTTTCCATTCAGTCCTTGGTTGCTAGGACCGCTGGCTTCCTAGCAACCAGTGACATCGGGGGTCCTCCTCTGCAGTGATTGGTTGCTAGGACAGCTGGGCGGTCAGTGAGGCTCATCAGAAAAAAACGGCTTCAATTTGCTCGGGGGAATAAAGATTGGACTCTGGAGCAATGGAAAAAGGTCATGTGATCTGCCCAGATTTACCCTGTTCCAGAGTGATGGGGGCAGGGCAGCCATCAGAAATTTTGGGGCCCCTTACACAGCTTTAGGCCTGGCCGAGACTCTGGGCTTAGTGACCCGCCGGACTCTGGGCTTAGTGACACGCCGGACTCGGGACCCACCTGAGATCCCATACATACCTGAGAGTGCTGCTGAAGAACACACCGTAGATGCCGCGCAGCCCATTTGAGACTCTATGGTGGGCTCTGCAGGGGTCTCAGGTAGGCTGGTCGGGGCTGCCTCTCTCTGCTGCTGGTGCCTGGCCTCCTCTGCCGCCGGACTGACCGGAAGTGACGTGCTGTCACTTCCGGCTGGTTCGAGATCAGAACACTGGCGGCACTGCTGGGGCCCCAGCCTGTGGGGCAAGTGTTTATGATCTGGGGTGGCTGCAGTTGGTCAGGTCTAGGTTCAGCAACATTATGTGCCCAATAATGTCAGCTGCCACCTGAATATACGGAATGATTAGATTTCCCATCAATGGCTTTCTTCTTCCCTGATGGCACATTGGGCATATTCCCAGATGACAATGCCGGGACTCATCGGGCTCAGATTGTGAAAGAGTGGTTCAGGGAGCATGAGACGTCATTGTCACACATGGATTGGCCACCACAGAGTCCAGACCTGGACCCCATGGAGAATCTTTGGGATGTGCTGGAGAAGACTTTACACAGCGCCCCGACTCTCCCATCATCACTACAAGATCCTGGTGAAAAATGAATCCAGCTCTGGATGGAAATAAACGTTGTGACATTGTATAAGGTTATGGAAACGATGCCGCGGCGAATGTGTGACGTAATCAAAGCTAAAGGCGGTCCAATGAAATATTAGAGTGTGTGACTTTTTTGGCCGGGCGGTGTGTTGCCGCAATCTGATAGTCCGATGCTGCTCTGTGTTACACACACTATGTACTATGTCATTGTCTTAGAAAACCGTAAAATATGTCTTCTTATATCTGTCATGGACTGCAGTGTACCTGGTTGTACATTTCACTTTTTTTTTTTCTTTTGTCAAATTTTGTTTTTAGGTAGTGTTCCATCACTCGCTGCTGGCCTACTTTTTGGAGGTCTAGCTGGTCTGGGGGCCTACCAGATGTCTCAGGATTCCAAAAATGTTTTAATTTCACTGAGTAAGTTGTTGATGGTGGTGGTTGTGTTGATGTTGGTGGGGGAGGTGTTGGTGTTAGTGGTGTTGAGGGAGGTGGTAGTGTTGTTGTTTGTGTTCTTGTTGGTGGTGTGTTGTTTGGGGAGGTGGCGGTGTTGTTGGTGGTGTTGATGGGGGAGGAGGCGTTGGTGGTTGTGTTGTTGTTGGTGGTGGTTGTGTTGTTGGTTTTGGTGCTTATGTTGGGGGAGGTGTTGGTTGTGTTGTGGGAGGTGGCAGTGGTGGTTGTGTTGTTGTTGGTAATGGGGGAGGTGGCAGTGTTGGTGGTTGTGTTGGTGGGGGCTGTGTTGTTGTTGTTGGTGGGGGAGGTGTTGGTGTTAGTGGTGTTGAGGGAGGTTGTGGTGGTGTTGGTGTGTTGTTTGGGGAGGTGACGGTGTTGTTGGTGGTTGTGTTGTTGGTTTTGGTGCTTATGTTGGGGGAGGTGTTTGTTGTGTTGTTGGTGATGGTAGTTGTGTTTGTTGTTGGTGATGGTAGTTGTGTTGGTGATGGTAGTTGTGTTGGTGATGGTAGTTGTGTTGTTGTTGGGGGAGGTGGCAGTGTCGGTGGTTGTGTTGTTGTTGGTAATGGTAGTTGTGTGTTTGTTGGGGGAGGTGGC